ACTTATGCGGGTAGCAGAAAAACGCTAGACTATTTCCGTGCGTCGTGTGAGGACACTGTTTTACTTTCATATTATCAATTTTAAGAGAAAGAAGAAATAAATCAAGAAAAAATATATTTCTAAAAAATACGAATCTTCCAGGGAACTCAAATCACCGAGAAGAAAAAAGATCTCGTTATATAAAAAACGTACCCCCCCCCTTAATGTTTTCTTGCATTCTCACAGGATTTCTTCTGTAAGTAAGTTCCCTTGCATCGAAGCTCCTCCTCCCGGATTTCATTTATTTCTCCTACTGAGAAGATAAACCATAGAAATTATTAATTACTTTTACAAGAGAAAATGCGATTGATCTACGTCAGAGAAAACTTACTTATTTTAATTCTCCTCTTTCCAAGCACTGCGTAAAATTCCTGCTTTTTTGTGTACAAGCGAATAGAGTTTATTAGAACAGGGTTCATTTAGAACCAAGTTCCTGATTCATTCTTAACCCTAATTTAGTAAAAGTCTTCGAGATGCGCGAGTACAATTATACCATCAATTCTCCAGATAATGAGAACAATAGCGTCAAAATACAGAATGAGTTTTCACTAAAAATTGAAACTATTTAATTTTTAGTTCAAAACATTTGAAAACTTCCGAAATCCTTCAGAGGTTTTTTATTATCCAGAAACGCAATATACATTCAACTAATGAAAGATTATCGCACGAGACGGAACTGACAAGTGATTGCCACTTGCATCATAAACACACCGCCAATTATCTCCGTTGTGCTAAGATACTCGCGCAATGGCAGAATTTTCACCTGTTCAAATATAGCCCAAACGTAGAAGCGGTATATTAACACGATATCATTAAAGTTAGAACATTTAACATAAAAGGGGTATGCAATATGCATATTCAAACAACACGAATAACGATTGTTATACAAGTAGTACTCCGTCATTTGATCTATGGAAGGGAGGTGATGGGTGCTTCTGCGTTCCACAATAAAACACGAGGAAAGAAGCGTCACGTGTAAAACGCAAAATACGCTTTTCCCACCGATATTACGTTCAGTTCCAATGGCACTGCAGCACAATAATATGTTCTATCAAACCTCAAATAACAAAAACTGAAGATGCTAGTTGTGCATTGCAATACGAAACAGACTCAGATAAACAAGTATATAAAGTTCAACTAATTGCTTCCGAGTATATCAAACAAGGTTCTAAAATCTTCCCATCTCATCTTCAAAAATGATCGGTAAATAATGAACGGCAAGCTCTGAAACTTCAGTAAAGAGCAATAAATAGAAATACAAACTGACTCAAAAAGTCGACAAAGAACACCTGCTCATCATATCTCCTAAAGTATTGTTTGCGTTCCATAGACTTTTGATAAATATTTCAGAACTCGTCTCCGGAATTTGTTTATTTTGATTACATTGTGGAACGTTAATAATGCACAACCCGAAACCCTATGACTCAAAAATATACAATGCTGCAAAATGTTTTAAATTAATATACTTCTTGAATATATCCGCGTACAAACCCAAGTGCTGTATATACCAGTACCATCATTTTACAATAAAAATTAATAAAATGCGTAAACTAAAGAATAGAACAAACCCTTCGTCAAATTGGATTTACTAGACATATTATTGATATTATTATGGAATTTGAGATATTTTGAATAAAGCGAGATGAACAAATTTTGATCACAAGCGTTTTTTTTCTCTCTCTCTCAGAAATGTAATTAACATAATCTATTACCTAAAATTGTACGTGTGCATTATGAAACAAGCCTAATAAATTATTAAATTATGTTCCTCATTCAGAAACAGTTACTGAGCAGCCGCCTATTGTAAAAAAGAGTGTACCATGAACTTCTTTGAAAGGAACTCTACGCGTCCCACTTGAGAGGACGTCCCACCCACGGGAGATTCCGGTGTTGATTCCACACCTAGTAGCGAGCAAGGCAGACGCCCCGGCCAAAGCACAGCGGCGCTCAAGGGCCCCCTGGCCTCCGCGGGCCAAGCCTCAGCCTGAGCGGCTGTGACGCCCTCCGCGCCCTGCCGTCTGGAATCTCTTCGGCACCTCCTCCTACGTCGTTCGTCACTAATCATCCTCCGATCTTTCTTTCAGTCACTTCCCAGTAGTCGTGGACGATAGATACACGACAAACGTAAAATACACTGATTACGTTCTTTGTCTAAAAGAATATGTACGCATTACAGGATATTTAGAAGAAACAAGTGCTGTACAGCGCTTTTCACTTGATTATTAATGTTGAATTTGTACACGGAATACTAAATTTGGTTTACTAAAATAATACAAGTTTGCTACTCTCCTGGAACCATTATCTAATAGTTACGATTAGGAACCACCTGCCTGTGGAATACGATGCAAGTTCCGTATTTCCAAGACATCGGATCGCTTTCAATCCAACAGAATGGGTCTTTGTAGTAATGATAAACGAGGGAGATGTCCATAAATCCTCTATTGTTCTCTGCCAAATTCATTTGCCAATTTTATAGACCGTAAATTTAAAATGATCTGTGAAAGCGAAAAAAACAAATCACATTCCCCTAAGGCTATACGCCAAATTAATTCCAAACAAAAATATATTCCAAAGTGAGATGTTGGTTACGAAGGAAGAGGATACTGGCTACGAAAGAAGAGTAGACAAGTTCAATGATTAAACAATTAATTTTCAAACTTGCAACCACAAGAAATGAGTCCGTAAAATTAAAGAAAAATTGTAAGAACTAAAAAAATTATATCACAAATAAATTTGAAATTGAAAAATCTTAAATCTGCCAGCAACTTTCGAAGTCCGAAAGTAGGCAAATATCGGAAGAAATACAAATAAAAGAAAGCTATGAAGAGAAGAGTAACAATGATAACTCAACGAATAAAGCGAAAAATGTGGAAAACAGGCAAGAGTACCTAAAATAAAACTGGCAGCTTGTTATCTTCATATGAAAAAAAAACCGTCCAGGTTGCAGAACGAAAAATTACCAAAAATGTAATCTAGAGTTGATAACAAAATAAGTGGATGACAAATACTGAATATTTACTGAAATACACATAATATGCATGCAACAATGAAATAAAGTTACATAAGCAGAAAATTTTTGCAAAAAAAGTAAATAAAAACAAAAAGTTTGTATCATGCTGATTAAAAATCATGAACCACCCATTGTTTAAGAAAACATTAAGAGACTAATGGATACAGAAAAAAACCCATTGTGAATTGAATGGACGTAGAAGATGAAAAACACCTTTGAAAATAAAATATTATACGGAGTCATTCAAGAATAATTTGTTGTATTGAGTCAAAAACACCCTTCCCAACAGAACTTCCATATTCCAATACTCTTGTACATGCATCATTGACATATGCAAAAAAGACATCAGACGAACCGCTAAACTGACGCCATTAATCTCGTACACACCCATTCAATCCAACCTAAAATTGCATGGTTAATGCCAACAGGAAATTCGATTGTTCTATCGATCATTAAAAAGGAGCAAATCACGCGAACATCACATTTCAAGCCAATCTCTGGCAATCATTAATGGAGTCGTGTTAAAACGGCAAGAGAGACATGTTTATTACATGGTATCACATTATACAAAGTAAATAAAAATCAAAAAAATAAAGACAAATTGTCAATTCTATCATAGCAAAAGTTGAAATAACCTTCGATAAACCTGTATGATTGAATAAGCAAAGAGAATATTATAATAAAAAAAAATACTTCAGAATCTTCTAAGTTGATTCATGGAACTTAAAAACAAACCATTTGGTTTCCAAATACGTTAATGAGATGCGCTTATCCTCCAATGTCTTTGGGTCACGAAACTACGTACCAATTCTGGCAATTTAGAAATTCCCAGAGATGTAAAAAATATCTGATATATCACTTCAGAGAGTCACTAAAATATTTAAAATATATTAATACTCTGGCAGACAACAACAGTTAAAAACATACTACTCGTTCAAAACAATAATACACCGGCTTAATCCCCTACTGTTCTTGTGAGCGGGGGTAAACAATATAAAACACATGTAACAGACATTTTAAAAATTCAAATGTAAATTTAAATTCGCAACCCCGTATTTTCAGTATTTTCCAATTTTAAAGAAACGAAACAATGTGTTTGGAACATCTCTAAGGAATACCTCAAGAATAGAGAGCAATGAAAGAATTTGAAAAGACGGCATTATCCTCATCTCACTTGGAGCATCAGCTGGGGAAACGCGGAGAGCCGGCCAGCCCTCGACCCGCGCGCGGCGGGCACCCAGAGCCCGCGGGCGAGCGGGCGGGCGGCCGGAGGGAGGGTGGCGGGCGGCGGGCGGCGAGCACTGCGGAACGCCGCTCGCGCCGCAGTGAACGCCAGCACAGAAGTGAAAGGCGGACAGCTGTCCGGGCTGGCCGCTGCGCCTGGGACGCGAATGACCGCGGAAAAACGCCAGGCGTATCAGTGACATAAAAGATGCAACGCTAAATTCCCCAGTTGGAGAGGAACCGCACGGCAAGACAAAGGCAGAAGCACGGCACGCGGGGTAAATACAAAGCTTGAAATGAGTACAGACGTCCCTCGAGCTCGTTCGAGCGAATGCTTGCCATCCCGCACAATGCACACCTGCTACAAAGGCTTTGCATATTAGAGCATGCACAAGACAAATAAAGCACAACAACGCTTGCAACACACCAACACTCTCAAAAGACTGTAAACGATCTTTTCAAAAATGAAAATGTGAATAAAAAGACCAAATATTAGAAAGTATACAAAAGCAAAAGAGAATGTTCATGAGGAAAGCGAGACACAGCAAGAATCAATAAAAGTGGTCAATTCCAAAAGGACACAGGAAAATATACAGACCATATTCCGTGAAATTCTTGATACAACGATACGGATCAGAATAATCACAATTATTTCACAGATTCGATTCGATCGAATCCAAAGGGTTCCCGTAAACACACATCGCCACCACAAACACTTTGCGTTGTGATGACATCACAAAATATTGATAATCTGCCACACAAAGCACAGCAGAAACTCTACCGCAACCGCTGCTCAACAGGAGCACTACGAGGGCCGATGCCCACGCATCCTTCAGGTCGGGGGCGTCTTCCAGGGAAGCATGATAGCTACCTGCAGCAGAGCCAGCTGCGGCGGGAGCGACTCCCGCGCCGGCGGCGGGGGCGGCGGCGGCGGGAGCGGCGGGCACAGGCACGTCGTCGGGCGGGGGCGGCGAGGGCGACAGCGAGCGCTCGGGCGAGGGCGGGCCACTGGCGGAGGGCGTGCGCCCGCCCACCGACACGGAGGAGGTGGCGGCGTGACGGCGCAGCGTTTCGCGGCACAGCTGGGAGAACATGGCGGCAGCGACGGCGGCGCGCGGGGAAGCAGCGGCTGCGGCGGCGTCGACCACGGCTGCTGCAGCGGCGGGAGGGCAAGATGCCCCATGGCGGCCGCGCACCGCACTGAACGCCGAGCGGGCTTGGCCGCCGAGCGAGCGCGCCGCGCCGTGCGGCTCGCCTCCCCCTTCTCCCCGCCCCGCTCCGCCGCCGCCGCCACCGCCACCTCCGCCCAGCTGGCTCGCTGCGCCGCCGCCCCGCGCTCATCGATCGACGCGGCGGCGGCGGCACCGTCGCTGCCGCCGCGGGCACGCGCCCGCCCGCACACGCTCTCGTCTACCAGCGCCGCGCCGCTGCGTGGCCCCCGACGCCCACGCACCAGCCACGCACACCCCGGTGGGTCCCTGGCGGCGGACCCGGACAAACAAGGAAGCTACCCAAAGCAGGCGGAGATCAACACTGCTCTCACGCTTTCAGAACAGGGGTAGATATCAGAACTTGAAACATTGTACGAATGATTGTAAACAGTTTCTATTAGTATACTGTTTATATGTAATGTTGATTTATTAATCAATGTAACCATTAACAACAACTGTTCGGATCGCAGATCTCGTAGGGAAACGAATGTGTCCAACGTGTTCATTTATATATTTATAGACCAAACTGTCGGGAAAACTTGTGCGTTAAATTGCAGGTTATTTAAAAATTACATCTTTTCTTTCTTTCAAATATCTACATTGACTCCTCACACGTGCATGTTTCATCTCATGTATATGAAAACAAGTGTAATAAATGTGTAGCTTCGAGAATACAAGTGTGGTACATAAATGATCCACAATTTAGAAAGTAAGTGATCATTTCATTTCCAGAAATCAGAACGATTTTCAAATTAGCGTTTGCAATCGTTTATTTCTGTTATCAAACTACAATAAATAATGTTATTTCACTTTCACGAAAAGCAACTCATTTTTCAAATTTCCTACATTATATAGTCGCAGCTGCATTCGTGGTGCATGTCGATACAACTGCAAATATTGAAAAATACGAAGAACATGAATCATTAAAGAATAGAGTTACAAGAGAAACTTGAGCAACCCCAAACAAATGAAACTAAGTTCACGCAAGGACACCGAGTAAACCGTGAAATGAATTAGGACAAAGCCAACGCGTGTAAAAGAAGTCCGGATGACTGCCGAACAAGAGCGACTTCCACTCTACATAACATGGGATGCAGTCACTACGGAAGAGCGAGTAGGCGCTCTATCGTGCACAACTAGGAGAACCATGCTGGTCTGCGATGAACGATTAGCACGCCAAGTCCAACTCCCAAATGAAATGGGGCGAATGCGTCGAAGACGGAACTGAAACACGAAACATGGAACAAAGGTTACCCGAAATACCCGTGCTTGTAGATGTCCTGGGAGAGGACAGGAGCATGAACAAAGTGAACGTGAAAGAGTAGATCCAATGGTGAAACCAAACCGAAAATAAAAACATTTTAGAAGCAATCTAAAGCAACAGAGAGAAACAGCGTCAAAAATGAAGCAAATATAAGTTCTTTTAAAGCTAAAAATTAGAAAAAACATAAAATAAAGACAAAAAATGTAAAACATCCAAATCTGGAGAAAAAAATACATGACTGGACGTGTGAAAATCAAATTGGAATCCTACACAAAAGTAGTGACGTCCAGAGCGAGATTAAACAGCCTCAAACACCCAACATCCCAGAGAACACGATCACTCAAAGTAGAACGACAGGTACGGCCAGAAGAGGGCAACGAAAAGTAGAGTGGCAGATCGGAGAAAGCCAACGCCAGCCAGAGCAAAGCGTTTGGTAGGCAACACGCGCGCGCGCGGAGCGAAACAGCCGCAGGCCGCGCAGGGGAGAGGAAGGGAGCGGGCAGGCGGAGTGCGAAAGACCCTCGGTGCCACGTACCGCCCCGCCA